GTCTTTTGGCGAAGGCAGGGGTCCGGGGGTGAAACCCCTACCCCGTCTTGGGCCCCGGGGATCCCCGCGTGACAACCCTGAGTAGGATGCTGGTACGCATGCCCATGCTTGTGTGCTTGGAGCCTCTTTGCCGGGACAAGGACGAATGCATGCAAAACCAGAACCAGGCTTGCAGTTGTGCCCAAAACAGATGAGGCTGGCACCTCTGTGCACCTGATCGAGGACCCAATCAAGGACCCATGTAAGACCCAAAACAAATGAGGCTGGAACCAGGGGAAGAGCACCCCTGTAACTTCAAAGTTTAGCCTACCTGGGGGAGATGCACTGTCTTGACCACTCTCTCATCATCGCAGGCAGGACATCGGCCTTTCGAAGCGCAGCACGAAGAAATGCCATGGAGCGAATACAGTCCTGTTCCTTAAAATACCCGACAGATGGGCCAACCACGTCACCGAAACTGCCAATGTTTCCAAATGTAAATGTGGGTTCAGCTGGCGACAGAACTCTCACCAAATACGGCTCCAAGATATCGATCAGGAACAGGAGCTTGTGCTTCTTTTCCTGCGGCAACGACGAGCAGCAAAAAAAGACCCCATCAGCGACGGACACAAATGGCAAGCAAATGTGTACTACCCGTGCGATGACAACGAGAGAATAGTAAAAGCCCATGTTGGCACACAAAAGGCGTTGGAGACGCTTAGACTGAGTTCATCGCCCGTTCTATACCCCACAAGGGGTGGCATCCAAAGGTATGTCCTTGCAAGGATTGGAGCTTCTAGCAAAGGGAAAAAGATTGCCTCTCAGGGATGAACATGTCGGTCAACCACAACATGAACAGAAACTAATAGCATGCACATGGTCTATGCAGCCTTGACTTAGGATAGGCCATACTCAAACCAGGACCCTTGACTTAGGGGAGGCCATACTCAGACCAGGGCTTTCTGGGTTGAATCTGCAGGGAAAGGAGGTGATACATCCAGAAAAGCCGCTGTAAGAGTGTGGCCCCTTGCGAGTAGCAGGCAGGAGCTGATTTCCGGAACATCTGTGAATGCAAAAGCTCAACAAGACGCAATGCGGTCAGGTACCAAGATGTGGCCCATTTGACTTTCCGAGGGATACTCAGACCTGGGCTCTCTGGACTGAATCTGCTGGGAAAGGAAACTAGGTACATCCCGCAAAATCCTTGTGTGTGTGGCCTTGAGCAAGTAGCATTAAAAGGAGCTCATTATCTGCAAGACATGTGCATGCCGCAAGCTGACAGAAGACACAAATGCAATAAGGAATCGAGGACGTTTTTCCCCTCGCAGAGGGGGATAACAAACACTAATCCAATGAGAGACTCATGTCCTCGTCCCATTATCACAGATTCACAGACTGGCTCAATTTTGCATAAACAAATGAACAGGCTCCCCAGAACCAGAATCAGCAAAACTTGCACAAGGGATGACAAGCACTGACCAAATGAATCGTTGACTGCGATTCAGCCCCACTATCACAAAATCACAATTTGACAAAGCACAAATAAATGAGCAGGGTACAATAGAACCAACACCAAGCCAGAGTAACAAAACTCAACCATGTTCTACCAAACTGAGCAAACTGTAACCAAGCAGGAAACAGTTGACCCAGGACAATGGCCAACAAAACCAAACAAACAAACAAAACAAAACCTCACAAAAATCAAACAAGAAGCAAACCAGGGCTAACCAAACCAAAACCAAACTGGACGACACCAAACACATTCAAACCAAATCAAAACAGGAAAGACCAAACAGAACTGGACCCAACTCCATGCAACCCAGCACACCCCAATGCAATCCACACATGCAAACCAACACCCCACGCTCACACCCCACACAACGCAATGCAACCAAACACAACCCTTGTAACCCCGCACAACCACACAGCAGCACACCCTCCCAACCCCACCCGCACCCCCCCACACCACATACAATGCAACAAGCGCATTGCAATGCCACGTTCTACAGAACATGACAGTGAAACAAAAAGCAGACAAACGAGCAGGAAAACAAATATCAAACAAGTAAACAAGCAGGTACTGGATGGAGAATTCAACAATCGTTATGACCACTCAAGTGAACACACAAACAAACAAACAGGCAGCCCAGTTTGTCATGGCTACGCCATAACAGAAAATAAAACCAATAGGGTTGTGCTAGCACAAGCAGAGACCTTGAACCTTTCCAGATCATCATCAATGATCCCTGACAATGCAAGAAGGATGAAGAGAAGAGCGGCCCGTGACTGTGCTGATGTCCTGTGTCCACCCTGCAACACCTCGCATACAATAGCCAAGCGTCAATAAACGCAACACCCAAGTTGTTTGGGCAGAGATGCCCAGCAGGGCCGCCAGACCCAAAAAGGCAAGAACCCACCCATACAAATAAACCGCACAGGTGAAAAATGGGGCAAGATTTTTACTTTTACTTTTTGGAATTTCGACATTGGACCAGATCTTCCATCAAGCCTGAACAGTCACAACCAGGCCCTATCTTCAAATTGCATGTTGTTACACCTGAACGGGGGATAAAGTGCTTTAAATAGCACAAGGTTACCTGTTGCGGCTTCGCCCGCAAAAAAAATGAAGGGAAAAGGGTGCAAATGAGGGTGGGTGGGGTTTTGTTGGTCCGTGTGTGGGTTTGAGTGGGGCCGGCATGTTTTTCAGGCTCACCTTTGCACTGTTGTTGACACTGTCGATGGAATGCTGCTGCTGCTTTGTATGCCTTGAATATATGTTTTTTTCTCTTTTTTTTTGCTTTTTTGCTACGTTGTTTTTCCGGGCGTCCGGGCACCCAACTTGTGCCCGGGTACACGCCCGGGTGCCCGACCGGGCATGACTCGCGGACAGGGTACCGGGCAGCCCCAGCGCAAAAAAAAAAAAAAACACAAAAATAAAAAAATTCCAGAAAAAAATTATGTTGTGTAGAATTGCAATACATACAACTTTTGGCTGAGGGTCACATCAGAATTCCTCACGGAATCGGAGATAAAAAAGAAAGTAACAAAATCACACGAAAGGACCCCACTTTAACCCCTCTTAGCACCTTAAAAAACAATTTATACCCCATTCCCCCTCCCTTTGACAGCCAACTCTCAAAAAATGAAACGAGCCCGGATTTGGGGTTCTTTGGGAGAGCGCAGAAAGGCTTCTTTTTTTTTTTCTAGCACACCCGGGTATCCCGGGAGTCAGCCCCCCCAGGCGTCACGCCCAGGTGCACGGCAGGCCCGGCCGGGCATGAAAACTTCGTAGCTTTTTCGTCCTGTCAGAGACCTGATCACAGTTTGCATTCCTTTCAGTTGTGGTTTGCTGGGTAGGTGGTTGTTCGGATTTGAACTCACCTGGT